AATGATTTATATACAAAAGTTTCATAAAGTTACAAACAATATAAAGTCTTCTTTCTATTCTGGAACTTCCTTGATATCTTTAACGATGAGCGAGTTAATTTCGAGTTGATGTAGGTATAATTCACTTAACAGGAAGCTGCCTCTTGGCTCAGATCCCAGGGAAACTCAGCTCTCTCTATTTGTGCACTTATGGACTCCCTTTGCAAAGATCTTTGGGTCATATAAGAGCTTTTTCATGGTCAGTCCCTGTGTTTTCATATTTTTCAATCTTCCTCTAATTTCTTCCAAGAGGTTGTATACTCTCTACTGGCTATGGAGGCTGTAGAATGGGTTATCCACCCCACTCAGAGTTTTTATTTCTGTCTTGTCATCCCCAAGAATACTGGGGATTAGCACCTTGTCATCAATTTATCATTCTTGAACTTTTTTCATAACATTTCTCAGTTCAAGATAGATGGTTTTCTCAGTCTGTGATAAGTATTCTCTCCCAGGTTATATGTAACCAAAGTCAGTTTTTCTGATGTATTTCTTCACATCCTGATTTGTTAGTTGTCTCATTTCTCCTCTGGTTTGTCCACAACAATTGGGATTTTCAGTTCTGGGCCCTTACCTTTGGGATAGCCACAGCTTCTTATGTTTTCAATCAGGTTATGTGAGCTTTCACTCAATGAATGCATTCTTTGGTTCTTCACTTCCATTATTATATGGACAATTGGCTCTTGTTGGCTCCATCTCAATGAGCTTCTGCATAGGCAACCTCCTTCCTCATTTGGGAAGTGTCTCATCTCGACTGGCTGGTCAAGTGCTCCAAGTCTGTATTGACCCACACTCAATATTTGGTCCACCTCTGTGTCTTTCTCAATTCAGGTGTGGAACAGGCTCATCTGTCACCTTTGCATCTTCATGCTATGAAGATTCTGTTTTTAAATGCTATGGCCTCATATTCTACTTGCACAAGAGATTCTGTCTCACTTTGGAAGACTGTATTCCCTCAAATCCCTTAGCCCTCTTAAACAAACCCACATGTCCCTCTTCAGTGAACACTGGGCAATCAGTGGAGTAATGTCCTGGGATTTCATGTCTGCTATTGTGACTATACCGATGTCTTTCCATCCCTCTCTGTTGTGATGACTCGATCCATCTAACAGAGATGCCTCTTTCTGGGTGGAGATGGTTCTGATCACCACTATCTTGGGGGCTTAGTCTCCAGAGGAGCAGTGCCTTTATGTTAATATCCTGGAGACATTGGTTGTTTATTACGCATGCCAACATCTTCAGTCTCAGTTCACAGGTCATCTGGTGGTGATTCTTTCAGACATTTCCATACTTGTATCTAAAATAATCCGTCAGGTAGCTTGTTTCTAGGATCTCTGCTTTCTCAATTGGGATTTCTTTTTTTAGGCCCAAGACTATCAAATTCAATTGTCATGTCCAAGGAGCTTTGAACATAATGGAGGATTGCTTGGACCATTTGGACGGATCATTCCAATGAATTGATCTCTTCATCCTTTACTGTTTCATTGGATTTGTTCCTTCTTTGGGAGTCTTCTGATCGGTACCTTTAGTACTCCACTCCCTTACCAAATTTTCTGTAATGTAGTCTCCAATCTGAGCCAGGATTGGTCCAACTTCTTTCTTATGTCTATTACCCTTTTTGCCTTCTTCCTGTTTTCTGTCTTTAATTTGATACATCCCTTGCCAGGTTCTTCTAATTTCTCCTCTTTGGCTGGCTCTCTTGTGGTTTCTCCTTTTGCACCATTTGTCATTCAGGGAGCCTCTTCCACTTCCTCTTTGGTGGCCCCTTCTCCTCCAGCCACAAGATGTGGTGTCTGCTTTTCATGCAGAGTAGTCCATTCTTGCTGATCTTCCACATTGCCCCTCTGTTTTGCTTTTTTGACAAAAGTTTATTCATATCAACAACCACCAATTATAGAGCTGCTTTGTTCTCAATTTTTTCTTACCCAGCCTTTCTCCTTTTCATTTTCTGATTGACCTTTTCAGGACTTTTTTCAACAGTTGTCCTCCTTGTCCATTCCATTTTCCAGACAGGAACCTCTGCACTGTTTTCTAGGCACTCACTGGTTTCCAGTTTGAACCTTTGGACCTCATTCCATATATCATATGTCACTGAAGACATATTTTCTCCTCCTTCTCACTTGCAGGAGATATCATTCAGACATTTATGCCTTGGATGCCTCCTACAATCTCTGTCGCAAAGGTCACAAAACTCATTTCTCTAGAAAACATGTGCTACCCAAAAGAGTAATAGAATGTTTTCTCCCATCACTCTCCCTACCACTTCTTTATATGATCATTCTGACCCTGATCATCTTTTGTGTCCTATTTGGTCTGTTAATTGTAATTTTGCTCAAACTGCTCTCTTCCTTAGAAACTCTTATAATCTCTTCTTACTGTGGTTGGTTTCCTTCTCTTGTAACTTTTTGCCTTTGCCTTTGACCAGATAGGTTTACCAGATCATCTAGTTTGTATATTCCTCTTTGAGTGAGGACAACAACACACCTTACCCATCACATCCTATAAGGCTCATCATCTCAAGACATCTCTCACTTTTCGTCAACACTGTGCAATGGATGAGATCCTACAGGCTGGAATGTGGATGATACCTAACACATTTGTATCACATTACCTCCATCACATAATGGTTTGTTGTGCTTCTGGCTTTTGCCTTCTTCTAATTACCATTATCCATTCACTTTATCACCTACTCACTCCTTGCCATTTTTAGCTTATTGATGATGGAACCCACCTTGTGGGAAAGTCTACCTAGAGAGATCCTCACTGGTACAAGACTGAGTAGATGTGCTTCTTGTCTGGAAAGTAGGTCTCGGGTGTTAACTGTTAGTGTAGTAAATGACACCCCACTATGCTGTGAACCAAGCTGTATTGTTCATGGGTTTGCTTTGGGCACAAGTCTGGGATACTAATCCCTGCACCTGATTTTTGTGTTGAGTATTTCACATAAATATTTCTCCAACATTGAACATCCTGGCTTGTATCCCTAGCCACGCTACAAACTTGTAATCAGCTGCCTGCTTATGAGAATAATTAATTCTGCTCACCTTAGCAATACAGTAGCACCCAACAGAAGATTCTAATGACAATATATTTTGTTCTCCACCTCTTGTGGGTAAAGAGTTTTCTCTGAAGCATCTCACCAAGTACTGCCCCACAAGGCTCTCATGGATGTCACACTTCATTAACTTTCTGATGCTATTTCCAGAAAGGAGTGCATCTTTGTACTTTCTTTGCACTTGCCCCTGCTTAGGCCACATTTAGAGTATTTTGTTCAGTCTTGGGCTCCTTACTTTCGGAAAGATGCTGAATAATTTAAAAAGGTTAAGAGAAACGGTTGTTGGTGAGTTTGGAGGATTAGTGATATTTACCAATTCATGGTCCCATTGATCAATTAGTTCAGTGTTCCTCAAACTTTGGTACATAAAAAAATAACATAAAAGGGTTGGCAGTGGGTGATGCTAGACAGTTGCCTTCCCACTCGTCAGCTGTTCAAACAGGAAAAAAAAAGTTGGTGGCAGGTGCCTTCCATCTTGTCAGCAGTTCAAAATTAGTGGCAGTGGCAGATAGCCCAAGTAGCTTTGGCATAACAAAGACATGGTGAGCAAGTTTGCTGGCTATGGAAATCAAGTGCAAAACATACAAATCACCAAAGAGAAACAAAATTGAAGTAGAAAATACAACTTACAAAGACTAAAATTGGGCAGAGCACATATAGCCCATTATGTAGTTTTGTGCTTAAAAAAGCAAATAAACATAATGATAATACTTTGATTACTTGGAAAGCTCGATTATTCAAAAACTAATAATAGAAAGCCCCATTTCAATTAGTTTGTTATTTTTGTGATAATCAATTTAATCATAATTTTAATGAAACAATGAATGGAATAATCAAAAACAGTTATAATAAGAAACTCTAATTTTGATTATTAAACTTGATAAAACTTATATCAATTGATTAGTTTACTTGACACTAATCAGTATAATTACTTCTGATAGATAATTGATTAAATCACCCAGCTCAACATACAAGGACAGTCTAAGATTGCTAAAATTGTTTTCTCTTGAAAAAGAAGAGCTAGAAGGGATCTGATTGAAGTATTTAAGATTGTTAAGGGAATTGATAGTGTTAATACATTATCTTTTTTTTTTTCATATTTAATGTTAAGAATAGTAGGACAAGGGCAACCATTCCAAATGCCCAACCACCCCGTTAAAAAATAAATCTGTTTTAACTGAAGATGACTTCAGCTATAGTGGATGTAGTAAATTTATAAACTTTTTTTCAAGAGAAGATTTCAGAGAGCTAAGTTAACCTGTTCTCTTATTATAACCTTTTATCCCAGTTATAATCCTAGTAGCTCTTTTAAACTTTCCAACAGTTCAATGTCTTTTCTAAATTAAGGAGCCCAAAACTGAACATAATACTCCAAATGTAGCCTAACCAATGACATTATTATATTATACCCTCTTTAGACTTGTATTTAATATTTCTTTAAATTCAACCTAAAATCCTATTTAATCTTATATAAAACCACCCTGCCACAAGCAACAACATATTGCTTAGATGGCTTAAAAGACTGATCAATCAAAACACTAAGATCCTTTTCTCTTATACGTTAAGTTATTCCCATTAAAATTACACTTATAATTTAGATTATGATAATCCACATGCATTAATTTTAATCTTATATATATTGCGAACCATGGTGTCTGTCCGAGCATTCATCTGTCTCCCATTTATGGTAGCAGCTTCCTGTGCTGTGTTTGCAGGGAAAGCTCAACATTCAATTTTGAAATTATGAGAAAACAGGCATGAATAATGTTGATGCCAAATTTTATTTTGCAAGCAGGATATCCTACACTAAATTGTTAGGAATTAATCACACTATCATTCACATTTCAATATGTAACATAACTTAAAGAATAAAAATTTAGATTTACAGTATGTTATTGTTGAGTAGCTCTGAACATGACTGAAATACTCAACAATTACTTCTTGCAGTGGACGGTGTAAGTAGCTCAGAGCTTTGGCTCCAAGTGAAACCAAGAATGCAACACAATTAACCTTTTTAAAGTCCATGAAATAATTGAAATTGATAGATTAACTTAAACTTTTCTTGTCACTGGGATCTGATACTTTTGTTAGATTATTATAATTAAAAGCCATTTACCATTTATTCAACCATCTCACCAAATAATCTAAATCCTTTTGTAAAGTAGCAGCATCCTCCTTACAGCCAGCAACACCTAATACCTTAATATCTTCAGCAAATTTAAGCAGTTAATTGACCATTCTTAATGTTAATCTAACAGAACAAATGTTGGGTACCCTCTGCTTTCTTCCATCTAACCATTTTTCAGTCCAATAAATCCTATTTATAAGTAATTTTTAACATGCCTTTTATGTTGCACCTTGTCAGATGCTTACTGAAAATCCAGATATACAAAATCCACACTTTTACCATCAGCTAAGTAAGTATTAACCTCTTCAAAAATGTCACAAGATTAGTAAAACAAGACTTCCTATCGTAAAACCATGTTGACTCTTCAACAAATTTTTATACTTTATTAAATTAGTTTGTGAAACATCTTTTTTTGTTTTCAAACTTTCAAAAATTTTCCATCCATTGATGTAAGACTAATATGCCTGTAATTATTTGAACATAATCAATCACTTCCATTGAAAAGAGGAGTAACATTAGTCAACTTCCAATGTTCTAATACTTACCCACTACTCAAGGACTTACAATCATAGTTATCAGTACACATCAAGGATTAGATAAATTATAAAATAAAATAAACATTGTGAAAAAAATTATGATTCTGCATGAGGAAACTTTCATGGGTAAGATTTTATAGCTTTGTTGTTATATAAAATCACAAGTTTTTCAAGCACCTTATGACAACCATAGCTTTCCTGAACTTAAACTATTTGTGCAGTTTGTATTTAGTTGTTCAGAGAAATATTTCTGCTGTACACTGAGTGGTCACAAGTAAATAGACACCTAATTTTTCGTCATTTAACTGATTTATGCTAACTAATTTGTGTTCATAGAGCACTATATAAATGAAAATGGTCCACACACTAATTATCTTGTGCTACAACATTCCTAGAACTCAAGGTTTTCTCTCGAATTGTCAGATTTTGTTAGAGGAAGGATAGTTGGTCAAGCAGATGGTGGAATAAGTCAGCGGCAAATTTTGCATAATTTGGGAATCCCGCTTTCGACAGTCAACAGAATCGTGCAGTTCAGGAAACACGGCAAGGAAACAACTGAGCAGCGTCCGGGTCATCCTGGTCCATCGGAGAGGACAAAAAGGGCTGTCAAGAGGAGCATAGAAATTGATCCCAGATTAACAACTGCAGAAGT